TATAGGTTGCCTATCACTCTGTTGATTATTTTCTTGGCTGTTCAGAAGCATTTTAATTTAATCAAGCCCCATTTTTTTTTTGTTTGTTTGTTGTTGTTGATGTGATTTCCACTAGGGTTTTCTTCATAAATCCTTTGCTTAGGCCAATATCTAGATGAGTTTTTCCGACATCCTCTAAATTGTCATTCCTTTATTCTCTCTAAGACTTCTTTATTTGATAGGAAAGCATCTATGTTCCAGGGCTTTACAGCATTTGGTTCTCCATTTCTGTCTAAACCAATTAGTAAAACCCCTAGCCCAAGGCAAAGTGAATGATTTAGGGATTAGCAGTTGGCTGAAAATCATCCAATCAGAGTGATGCTTAGGAATTGAATTCCAAGGTTAAGGGAAAATTTTTGAGGGGTTGTACATAACCTGGATATATGTTGCCTCAGGTGCTGCTGGCAGCCATAATATAATGTCAGAGAACCTGTCCAAAAATACTTATTTGACAGAAGGAGTTTTCTAAAAAACTGTTCTGATTGAAAGTACATAGTAATTTGCCATGATAGTAGCATTATCTTACTCTACATAAAGTTAAGTAAGTACAGCTACTGATAGTAGAATTATATTATATTCCCAAAATAAGAATATAAATCAAATGCCAGGTTATAAATCTCTCAAGGTTATAACAATGGAAATGCCTTATAAATGAGGAAAAAATTGGAAACATTTGGGGTGTTTAAATATAAATATGATTACTGAAAATAAGATATAAAATACAGCTTCTAATTCCTTTCATTGTTTTATTTTTTCATACTTACTTTTACAATAGTCATAAAATATGGACATATTAAATCTCAGCTTCCACAGGTTGGCAAAATGATCTTATTTCAATTAACTCCAACCCTGAGAGTGGTTAATTATCATAAAAGGGGAGACGGTACTCCTGCATCGTTTTCAGAATTAATTTCTAGGATGATTTTTATGACTATATCCTAGAATTTGATTCCATTTGAAAATAATTAATAGACCGTGGCAATCCTTTTACTCATTTGTGTTTAAAAAGACAGTCTGACAATTAAGTTTACTAACTCATCCTAGAAAAAGTGTTGCATAGGGGAGAGAGGCATAGGTCTACTAGAAGCAGCTTTTGCCAGAGGCTCCTGTGCAGAAGGAAAAAAGTTGGACTGAAGCAAACTCAGAGAAACAAAGGAGGGGAGTTGAGCACAGGGGGAAGAAAGTGAGGTGCACAGCATCCTCACTGAGACAAACTACAAGGCCAAAAAAGAGGAAGAAAGATGATAACAAAGATCAAGTACGGAGCAACTAGTTGGAAGATGCCTGTTGTCCAACCAGGAGGCCCATGGCAGGGAATAAAGATCTTTCACTTCATGCCATAGGAGAGAGCCACGAGGTCCTCCTATACCTGGGAAGTTCCCCTCTGAGCCCAATCCCCATCCTTCCTGGCACAAAAGTGAACAAATATTCTCTCTGCAATCCTGAGCCCACAGTTCACCCTTCCCCCTAACTTGAATGCATGGCTAACTGCCTCCTTCAGAGGTCAGAGTGTTTGGCAAGTTCACTGAGAGAGAGGTGCATTTTGTGGGTGCTGAGCTATCAGCAGAAACAGTGGCACTTTGGTGGGGAGGAGTGTGATCTCTTCTGACTCCATTCCCCACTAGAAAAGGCCCTTCCCCATCCCCTTGGGATCTCTCAGGTGAACTGCATGTGGATTCTTATTTACTGACTGCCTAGATACCCTCTGAACTCATTTGTGTGGGTGTTGCTCAGACTGCCTGAGCCGGTTTGACTGGAACTCTCAGCCAGTTGGTAGATTCTTATTCTCCTGCTGCACTGTCTGGGGATGCAGGTTTACCACTTGTTTGACTTTGAGCAGTGGCAGTGGGAGAGTTGCAGGAGTGAGGGGTGGATTCAGCAGGTCTGTCCACAGAGTCTCCTCTAGCTATCACCAGTGGGGACAGGGCCACAGGTGTTTGTATCTTTATCCAGCAGAGATTCCAGCAAAATACCACAACTCCTTAGGATTGGATAGAGGACAGGGCTGACACCAAGACAGAGCCAGGTTGTGCTATCTCACCAAGCCAGCCCTCAGAGTCTCTGGCCGCAGCCCTGAAAGGGACCTTTGCAAGGCTGTAGGGAAAAAGCCACAATCACAAGCTCCAGCTCATTGGAGAAGGGGTGGTTAGCTGCAGTTCATGGGGCCCCTGGATCCAGTCTCATACCACCAGTCCCCAATTAGATTATCTCTCAACAGCTATCCAGGGATAACCTATTTTCAACCAAAAAAGTATAAATAATATACATTTTTTAAACAATAAAAATACTCATGGGGTGGAACCAGCAAAAGAACTCTGGCAACAAGAAAAAATCAGAGCAGATCAACTTCCCCAAGGGATAACAATAGAGATACAACAGAAAATACTATCCATAGAGAAACTGCTGAAATATCAGAAATAAAATTCAGAATATGGATGCCAAATAAATTGAGTAGAACTGAGGAGAAGATGGAAATAGAAATTCATAAAATAGTTCAAAAGTTGTCTCAAGAAATTAATTAATTCAAAGACAAAGTCACCAAGGATATGGATATAATGAGGAAAGAAATAGCAGAACTTCAGAAATTCAAAAAGGCATTCAAAGAACTTCAAAACAAAGTACAGACCCTCAATAATAGAATAGAAAGAACATGGAAAAGAAAGTATTTCAGAAATTGAAGACAAGACTTTTGAACTATCCCAAGCATTCAAAGAAGCAGAAAAAAAAGAAAATAGAATATTCCCTGATAGAATTATGGGATCATTCCAAAAGACCAAACATCTGAATTGTAAGGATTCCTGAAGAGAAGAGGATAGTCCTAAAATCACTGATGCTCTACTCCAAGACATCATGGTAGAGATTTTCCCAAGCATTACAAGAGACACAGAAATTCAGATAGCAGATAATTTCAAAACCACAGCCAGAATGAAAAAACATACCATGCCTATGGCTGGGAAGAATCAACATTGTTAAAATGTCCATACTAATCAAAATAATCTACAGATTTAGTGTAATCCTCATCAAAGCACCAATGTCATACTTGGAAGAACTTGACAAAATAGCACGTTCACTTCATTTCATATGGAACCAGAAAAAACTCCAAATAGGCAATACAATTCTTAGAAATAAAAACAAATCTGGAACTATCATGTTACCAGACTTCAGGTTATACTACAAGTCTATAGCGATCAAAACAGCATGGTACTGGCACAAAAAAAGAAACATTGATCTGTGGAAAAGAATAAAGAATATAGAGATGAACTCAGCCACATATCATCATTTGATCTTTAAAAAGCCTAGTAAAAGCATGCTCTGGGGAAAAGAAACCCTATTTGACAAGTGGTGGTTAGAGAACTGATTAGCCACATGTAGAACACTGAAACTGGATCTACACATTTCATCATTGACAAAAGTTGATTCTTGCTGGATAAAAGATTTAAATTTAAGACACAAAACAATAAAATTCTAGAAGAGAGTTTGGGGGAAAACACTTGGAAATACTGGCCTGGGAAAAGATTTTATGAGGAAGACCCCTTAGGCAATTGTGGCAATACCAAAAAAAAAAAAAAAAAAAATTAGATTTGATCAAGGTAAAAATGTTCTGCACAGCTAAGGGTATCGCAAGCAAAGCAAACAGACAGCCTCCAGAATGGAAGAAGATTTTTGCATGTTATGAATCTGACAAGGGCCTGATAACTAGAATCTACAGAGAACTAAAATTAATAAGAAAAGAACAAACAACTCCATTTCTTTGTGGGCAAGAGACTTGAACAGAAACTTCTCTGAAGATGACAGGAGTATAGCCAACAAACACATGAAAAAATGCTCATTGCCTTTCATCATCAGACAAATGAAAATCAAAACCATTCTGAGATATCACTTAACTCCAGTAAGATTAGCCCACATTACAAAATCCCAACTCTGCAGATGCTGGCATGGATGTGGAGAGAAGGGAAAACTTCTACATTGTTGGTGGGATTGCAAACTAATACCTCTATGGAAAGAAGTATGGAGAATTCTCAAAGAACTAAAAGTTGACCTTCCATTTGATCTTGCAATCCCATTACTAGGTATCTACCCAGAAAAACAAAAATAATTTTACCACAAAGACATCTGCACCAGAATGTTTATTGCAGCTCAATTCATAATTGTCAAGTTGTGGAAGCAACCCAAATGCTCATCAACCCATGAATGGATTAACAAACTGTAACATACGTATACCATCGAATACTAGATGCAAACTTTACATCTTTTATATTTATCCAGATGAAGTTGAACACATTCTTCTTACTAAAGTATTTCAAGAATGGGAAAAAAAAATAATCAAATGTACTCAATGCTAATATGAAACCAATTTATAAAGAATTACATGCCCACATGAATGATAAAACACAAATATACACCTTTGGGTGAAGGGCTCTTCTACAACATGAACTTTACGCTGGAAGTGAGAATAATACAACCCCCAAATTTGTACCTTCATATTAATTTGAAATAAAAATAAATTAAGTAAAAGAAAAAAAGCTGCTACATACCTCATTGCTGCGTATCACCAAGATCACCTACAAAGCACTCCCCATGGGAAGTTACACAGTGACACCACCTAGTCCAGGCTTGAAAGCAATTTTGCAACTCTTTTTCTGGAAAGACCATCAAAGCTGTCATTATATGGCACACAAAAACATGCAACAGTAATGAAAGCCACTCAGCAAGACATTGCCACACAACATGAACGCAGCTGTGACACTGATAATACCAATCTTATGAAAGCTTACTGAGTTGTTTGTACAGTGCTGCTAAGGTAAGCGTTAAGTGGCAAGTTCATGAACTTAATTATCAGACGTTGCATATATATACACACCAGATGATGGCTACCATCTGTTTTGGCAATAACACCCCACAACTTTTTGCATGATCAAAGTCAACCTTTGCATCAGACAGATAAGTCAATCAGAAGATGGTTTGTACAAATCCAAAGTTTTAATGGCTGTTAAATAATAAAAGGAAGGATATTTGCACTATATACATTCTGTCCACTTATGTCAGCTTGTCATGCACATTTTATTGCACATATAAACAGTGTACAAGGTTCTAGAAGACATCTTAGCCATAAAATGATTCCATTTAAAATGGGGGGAAAAGCCATTTTACAAAATACTGAAAGCCATTTATATTATACAGCCAACTTCAGGAAAATAATAAAAATTAATCTCAAAAGAAATATTTTAATTTTGAAAAAAAAATCTCTCAAAACAATGATTACAGAGCTTCATGTTGCCACATATATACACGTAAAAAAATATTTCAGGACCCTGCATTCTGAATGCCCGTGAAGGTGCAGCAGTCTAAATTCCTATTTATATAATCACTTTTGAATGTTGCATAAGTCGTATACGCTCTTTGTTCAAAATGTCTTTCCTCTTTACATCATTATGCTATTTGACAAAACAGGTATTTGTGCAGTACAGAAAAATATTAAAATATATTTTAAGTTAGGTTAAAGTGCACAGTACATTTGATAGGAAATAATTACTAGCTGCCAATCCGAATTTCCATTTTCAGAAAGCCCTCCCTCTCCCTGCTCCCTAGAACAGAGGGCAGGCTCTGCATTAGTTCACGTTGATCTGTGTTGCATGCACACCGTCCTCTTCCTGGGGTCTATTTTTGTGTTCACCTCTAAATGTGTCTTACAAATTAAGTCTGCTGCTGCTCTAAAAATTTCTAATGGCTTTTCACAGAGGTGAAAGTGCAGCCAGCACTCAAAAGACTTTGAAAGATTAAGCACTGGGGTATCTGTAAATGCAGTGTTAGAGGCATGAAACTGCCCAAAATAGGGTGTCACGTTCTGTGACGCCTGCTGCGAATCTCTCAGACCAACACGGGTTCCTTTCCTTTGCTAGTTCTTCTCTAGTTCCGTGGAGTTTGTACTTGCTCTTTCCTCGGCCACTTAGCCTCACGTTCTTCACTTACGTCACCTTCCCCTCAGCCTCCCTTGGTGGTGCATGGAGCTCCCCACGGGCCCACCCCTGAGGTTTCACACCAGAGACTGTGAATCTCGCAGAATTTTATAGACGACTTTGAAAACCATCAACTACATTACGATCAAATGAGCACATCTCAGAATCATTTCCTCTTTTCAAACTGGCAGTTGTAGGAAGTGCTGGTTTCCTGATTCAGGGCCTATGTGCCTTCAGTAACTTTTGATCACTCAGTCAAACCAACTTCCTTTAATAAAATTTTTGGTTAAACAATAAACTTTCTATTGTCTCCACTTTCCTCTACCATTTCCTCCGTATCTACCTTTGGTGCTAGGTTCTCTTGAATATAACCCAAGTCACAGTGCAAAATTATACTTCAAGACACATGACGCTAACTCGCACTTAGTACTTCTTTGTGTTAACATGTGAATGTTTTGTGCATAGCAAAAGAAGTATGAATCCAAAAAAATAATTGTTCACATTTTATCTTCAAGTTTAATATGTCTTCCCCCCCCTCATCACAGCTATTTACAGATAACTTTGGGGTGCTCTCTTGATTTCAGTTCATTGTATTGGGGGACATTAGGGCTGCTGGAATGTAGGAAACTGGATGGAATGCAGAAATATAAATAAGACCAATGTTCCACAAACCAAAGCATAAATAAAGCCTCCCCAGAAAATAGTTTTGTCACGGAAGCACCTGTTTTTGCTTTTTTTTTTTTTTTTGACTCCTATACACCAGAAAATATGATTACCGAGACCTAGAACTAGTACTTCAGACCAAAGAGGGTAGAAAATAACTGAATATGTATAATATTAAAATAAAGTGTTTAACCACAAAAAAAGCAGTAATAAAATAGTTTCCTAATTTACAATTTGCATCCAAAGGATGAATAACAACTCACTAATAAATAATATTTATATAAATATTTTGTATGTCGAAAATAGTTTTTTTAAAAGGCAATGGTCTCAAGAAACTTCTTGAAAAATTTGGCGGTGAAAAACCTGATTGTGTCTCCCCACCCACCCACCCAGTAAATACACGATGAGTTTGGTTTAATAAAACAAATGCATCTTGCTGCAAAACGGTTGTGCTTGGTGTTTTGGTAATGGCAGTCGGTGAGAGTGGAAGGGATGAAGGAGGGTGGAAAAGGCATTGACGTGCTGTTCAGTTCTTAGTCTCCAGCTCCCTCACTGGTTCCAGAACAAATACCTGTCAAGTCTTACTGTTGGAGGTCAGCCCCCAAAGGCAGAAAATCCTCCCTTAGACCGAAAACCTTTTCAAATGCAAGTGGAATCAGGGAACCCACAGGCAGTGGATGGGAAAGGGTTGAACAGGGAGCAGAGTTCAGGATCTCTGGTAGGAGGAGAGTCTGAGTCCACCCAAAGGACTGGGGGTGGTTTCATGTGAACAGAGACTTCGTTACAGTGACGTCAAGTAACGCTTGGACAGTAACGCCCACTTTGACCAGGCCTTTCTCTTCAAGGATGTGGTGGGGTAGACACAGTTTTTCCTAAAAGGAAGAAGAACAAAACGTCAATTTTTAGTTGATCAGACTCTCATCCTGAAATCCTGCTACATCACTGAGAGGAGTTTAAGCTGAGCACTCTCTGTAATACGCCCAGTTGACCACCTCGGTCCTTCCCCAACTTTCAACCCGTTGCAAAGACCTTAGCTGTGTTTGCAGAAACAGTAATGCTTTTCACTGGTTTCCAAAAACTTCCTAATCACCATGAAATCTGTAATACACCTAAATATTAAGCTTTTACACTAAGTAACTGAACTACATAGAGTTGGTTGAAAAACATACCAAGAATATAGTAGCTTCTGTTCTTATAAAGCGAAATTGCAGGTAGCCTAGTCTAACACATTTTAAAGGAACTCAAATATTCATTTATACTGACCACATACCAATATACCGATCATAGACCTTGATTTAATTCATTTTGTTTCCTGTGATCTCTGGGACACAGACATATTGGCAGGCTGGCATCCTTTCTTTGTGGTTTATGAATGGCCTTATAAATAATTTTAACGATAGCCCTCAATAGCCACTCTTTAAGACTTTCATAAAACTGTCAAAGACACAAATGTCCTGCTACTGCTCATGTGCATTTTTGTTCTTGGGAAATACTACTCGAGAAATACAATAAATCGGAGTTACTTTTTGCACAGAGAACCTTTTAAGAATTACCGGACAGTTTACAAAATAACATGAAATAATTTCACACCTTTGTTATTTGGCCTTGGTCCAATATCATACAAGGCGATCTCCTTCTAGGGTATGTCTCCTCAGCTGAGAAAAGACTCCACAGCAAACACTCTCTCCTCTACCTAATGACAGTGTGTTCTTCACAACCCAGTATTCACTGTTTCATTTTTCTTTTCTTCTTTTATTTGACAATTAAAAATTATATTTGTTTATGGTATAAAACATGACTTTTTTTTTTTTTTGAGACAGAGTCTCACTCAGTTGCCCTGGGTAGAGTGCCGTGGCATCGTAGCTCACAGCAACCTCAAATTCTCAGGCTCAAGCGATCCTCTTGCCACAGCTTTCCAGGTAGCTGGGACTACAGGCGCCCACCACAGTGCCTCACTATTTTGTAGAGACAGGGGTCCCACTCTTGATTAGGATGGTCTCAAATTCCTGAGCTCAAGCAATCTGCCCACCTCGGCCTCCCAGAGTGCAGGGATAACAGGCATGACCCACCGTGCCTGGCTGAAACATGATGTTTTGATAAAAGCATACATTGCAGAATGGCTAGATCAAGCTAACTAACAAATCAATTATCTCAAATACTTATTTTTAATGGTGAGAATACTTAAAACCTACTGCCTTAGCATTTTCACGTACGTAATACATCACTAACCAGAGTCACCATGTTATACACCGGATCTCCTGTACTTGTTTTTCCTGTCTGAGCTTCCACATGCTTCGCCCAGCGTCTCCACAACCACCATCCCCCACCCAGCTCCAGTAACCACCATTCTACTCTGTTTTTGTGAATTTAACGTTTTCTGTTCTTGATGGCCCAGAAGGTAGATTATTCAACTTTTTAAGATGGTGCATATTAGATGTGTCACATGTTGATGAGATTTATCAGTATTTGTCTTTTCAGGGCCTGGCTTATTTCACTAACATAATGCTTTCTGGGTGCATCCACGATGTTGCAAAGGACAGGAATTGTTTTCTTTTTAAAGGCTGCATAGTGCTGTTTTTAGGAGAGTTTAAATGGGATCTGTGTCAGGTCCCAGCGGCAGTGTCGGAGTAGCAGGAAGAATCAGAGTGCTCTGTGCAGGAAGCTTTCTTCCACGTGACGTGCTTGAGGACCCAGATCCATCTGCCGCCTCAGTGTAGGACTCTTTGTAAATTGCCACAGATATAGGCACTGTGGGCTTAAAACAATCTTCAAAGAACATGCTATGACCTCTCCAGGAACCTGTTATAATGTCTTGAATGTGAATGTCAGAGGGTCCTACACTCTCTTGCCCTCTTACAGTCCCCCCTTGTAACTTATAAATTCAGAAAATTTCAAGACTTTGACCCAGGCCTTAGGAAATGGCTCATTTCAACTTAAGACAGCTGGTTTTATAAAGCACAATTTAAACTGTGATTTCATGTCACTACTATGTATCAAGAAAGGATTATCTTGTCAATGGCCTGTCAGGTGAGCATGCAAGTTTCTAGAGCTTGCCAACTGAGTAGCCAAATGTCAACCTGAGAAAGAATGGGGGATTCTGTCCGAGATGTGAGCCGTGAGCCAGACCCATAGGAAAGGTGCCTCCTGTGGGACAGTGAAGGACGCCTGCAGCCAGACATCAGCATCTGCCCTTTCTCAGAAGCATCTGCCACAGGCTTGTGGGATCTCCTGAATCTGGTGTTTCATTGCCAAAGAGGATTCCACAGGAGCAGGGACGTGTCTGCCTTATTCTATGGCTCCCACAGCACCCATGTCAACATGTGGCTTGGCAGGACGTTATAAATGGCTGCTACGTACAGCTAAGCTCCTGGTGCCAAGCATTACTTGGGGGAAAATAGGTCTTCACTTAATACCATATACTAAAATCAATTCCAAATGAATTACAGATTTAAATGTTAAGGAAAAATTCTAAAGCCCTCCCAAGAAAATAAAGGTGAATATTTAACATTTTCTCTGATAAATGGATGGGAAAGATTTTCTAAGCTAAAAAAGTTTTAAAATATCACAAAGGAAATGATCAAAATGATTGACTGCCTAAATATTTAACATTTTCATGTGTCAAAGAGAACCCCAAATGAATCAGAAGATGATAAACAACAAACTGTAAAAAAGTATTTACATCAAATTACAAAGGGCTTTATATGACACATAAACTCAACAAAATCAGTAAGAAAAACACCGAGAGATCACTAGAACACAGGGCAAGAAATGTGGGTAGAAATTTTAAACTGAAATTTAACCTAAATTTAAATTTGCCCAAGGCAATGAAGGCAGGCACTGTGCTTCTCACCTTCAGTGTGTACTTCTGTTTAGTCCTGAAGGTGCCTAAATTCTAGCACTAATATTTCCAATGAGTCTAATCCCTGCGTACAACATGGCTTTTATGGGGCAAGGTTTCTTGTCCCGACTGTGACAGGATGACTAGAGAGCAGCATTTCCCCACTGGTGAGGGACCACGTCAGTGCGTTAATGAATGGTGATTCCAGTGGCCTACAGTACCGGTCCCCAACCTTTTTGGCACCAGGGACCAGTTTTACGGAAGACAATTTTTCCAGAGACCTGGGTGGAGATGGATCTCACAGGAGCTCAGGTGTTGGTGTGAGCAATGGGGAGCAGCTGTAAATACAGATGAAGTGTCGCTGGCTCACCTGCTGCTGCGCGGCCCAGTTCCTAACAGGCCACAGACTGGTACTGGTCTACAGCCCAGGGGTCAGGGACTGCAAGTCTATAGGGTTCTAAGCTGAAGGGCACATGAAGGAAGGGCTGGTGACTCCAAAGAGACAGGCATGGGAAGGGATCAAGGCCTCTGCCTCCCACCAGCAGGGCATTTGGCCACTTCACAGATAAGGTTATTCTCTTTCTCAGGCCCTTATTTTTTCAACCACCATTTTCTCCTTCCTGGCCTCAGAACTCCTAAGCCAGGTGCTGGATCTGAGATTCTCCCTCCCACTTTTATAGCTAGTGATGAGGAGTAAATAGAAGACATAAGGTACCCCTTGCATCCTTCCTGCCTTCCTTTTCATTTAGACTCCTGAAGAAGCCCAAATGCCCTTTGCTGGGTTTGGAGGTACCTAAGAAGACTAGCATAGGAAAAGAGAAATCTTATAAAAGCATGGAAGTTCTGGTTATTTTATCAAAGGAAGAGGAGGTGCCGGGACACGATGCTAGGAAGTACATCGGAGGCACTGGATGGAAGGACGACCAAGGGAAGCTTGCCAGAAATGGGAGGTTACTGAGGAGTGGCCAGGGGCCATTTGCCATGGCACCATTTGGGCCACTGCATCTCCCACAGGGAAACGAAGTATAGACATGGGAATGGTGAAGGAATTGCTGTAGACTTATGGGTGGACACAGAAGGGAAGGGTGGCTGCAGGTGATTTGCCTGCAGGCCACAGTTTGTATGCTCCTCATCTAGTGGATCCTTTGGCAAATAAAAAGGAATTCAGATGGTAAGGGCCTTTCTTAGATCAGGTATAGGATTGTCCAAAACATGTGGGAAGGAGACCTGACCCTAATGGGGCACAGGGGACCATGAAGGTTTCAGGAGACAGTGATGTTTGCAGTGAGACTTAGTAGAAGATGTATAGGAACACCCAGGTGGAGGGAGGGGAGGGAGAGAGGACTCCCTCAATAAGGGAGTGAGGTGGCTGCTGTGGTGGCTGACTCCTTATACATAATGGACTTCCAGGAGAGACAGCTGTGCATTTATGTGACTGGAGATGAATTTAAGTCACACTGTTACAGAATCTTAGAGATTTTTGTTGAGAATGTGATGGCTGACCCTTAGTATACCCATGGACTTCTTTCATTAAAGCACAGAGTGGTTTTATGAAGTCGTACCTTGCATAAAAGTAATGCTTCTGACCCCTACAAAGAACTCAGGCTTTCTGTTACTTCTCCAGTGGTGGAATCTATTAGGTCCCCCTCATTTACCCTCCTGAGCCACGGCAAATGGTGTTACGAAGGCAAGAAGCAAGACAGACTAAATGCTAACTTGAAAAACTTCTTGGGTACTTCCTATATGCCTGGAACTAATGCCATAGATTTGCACTTGTTATTTATGACAATCCTGCAAAGCAGACATTAATACACATACCTCCATTTTACAGTTGAGAAAAATAAATAGGGTTCAAGTAACTTTTGTTAACGTTATACAGCTGTGAAGTTCTGCAACCTAGATTTGAGGCACATGTGCTGGTCTTAGAACAACTCCTTCCACGACACCATGCTACTTCCCATAAATTCCTCAATCAACAAGTGAGTGTGTTCAGAATGTGTTCGTGATACTGGAAGAGGTCCCTTGGTTGTCAGA